ACAACAGCAAAAAATAAAATAATAAACAACAGACCCAAATCTAAAGACAATCGTCAAATACGTGGCATGATCGAAAAGTTCCGGGACCAACCGACTTAAGAGCCGGCGTGGTAACGCAGGATGTTTGGCGTACATGAAATAAATATCTCTGATTCAAAGCTGTTTACATTATAAGTTTACAGTAACTGTGCGTGCCTCTTTAACGGTACAACATACCTTGTCTAGGTGGTTATAGAAGTCCGTGTTTCCAGCACATAAGTAACGTCCCAGAAGAGTCGCGTGTGTCGTGAACACCGTCGCCACATCTACGTGCCGAGTACGGAGAGCGATGAGACCGACACCGGCTTGCCATTCATGGAAGTGGGCCACTATTTTTGGAACGTAATCTGAATACTCTTCGGCGACTTTCCGAAACTGCAGAATTATTATACGCGAACAACTTTAGTTGTAATCATGAAAGTTCTCTAATACTGAAATTTTAACAAAAACCTGTATTGCATGTGTGCATGTACAATTCCAATTCAAACGGAAGGAGAGAGTGAAATATCAGAGGAAATTTTGATTTCTGTGCATTTCTTGTTACAAGTACTTGTTTAGTTCTCATTCTGAAACAATGGACATAATTAAATTCAATGCCACAAAATGATGGCCACACATGAGGAGGCGGAGAAAGGCCATGCAAAAACGTAAGCAAAATAAATTCTGTTTGGGTATAATCAGATAACGTAAACCGACTCCTCAAATATTTTTCTTTCCTTCAACTGAATACGATTTACAGAAAATGATGAGACTGACTTTCAGAAACTAAATTTTTAAGGTAAACTTCTACCAGATTACACAGCGGAACAATCGAGGGGAAAGCCATCGCACGTAATTATTTTAATACACATTGAATTCCTTATTAACCTACGTTTCTATCGCATCAGTCTTTACGAAAATCAAAACGGCTTTAAAAGTTTTTGTAAAGATTTCTAATGTGAAATTTAATCACAATCTGTCCGGCCCCAATTCTTGAGACCGAAACATTCTGATGGATGGACGACATGAAGAACAGTAACAAATAAGAAGTTTCAACACACACACACACGCCTACCTCTTCTATGAACTGTGCCACCATATAACCAAGAATTACAGCATCATTAGCTTCAATGTCAAGATGAGGGATGCCCAAGTTACATTTATTCCAGAGTTCTTCTTTGTACTCGTCCATTTTCCAGGCACCAGACCCAATATCAAAGAGAATGATCTGAGGATTCCCATCTACAAGCCAGGTTCCTGTGTGGATCTAAATACAAACACAACCCAAATTTAGTTAAATCACAGCAATAAATATACCATCTGCAAATGCAACATCAGATTTCTGTTTCATCAGAAAAATTATCACCTTCTACCCACAAATCACATTTCCACTTTCCTGATTTGAAGAATCGTTCACTGTATTTTACCAAGTCGGGGAGGAAACATCTAAAATCAAAAAGCCCACTGCTTACCGTAAAGTCAAACAACCAGAAGTCAAAGCACTTGGCAATGACAGTAATAAATAAAGACTACATTCCGATTCAATAGCGCAATAAACAAATTCTGTCATTAAATACAAATTCAAAATATGTTGTGTTAAATCGTTAACACGTTTCAGTAAGGTAAGCCACTGTGTTACTTTGCAGCCGACGTTTCGTGCTTTCGATTAGGCACTTACTCTCCCCCGCACCACTACCAGGAATTGGACCGCAACCCTGGGCCGCGACACTTAGGTAAAAGAGAGAACAAAAATTCCTTTTATGCCCTGAGAAGAACACGAGAACCTACAATAGATCAAATAATGGAGACAATTACACAAGACTGGATCTTACAGTTTGCAGTCTACACCTAGAATCTTCAAGCTATCAAGAAAAATTATTGGTCACGCATGCAAGGCACGTGGTGGAATAAAGATGTTCACATAAAATTTTTGTCGTTAAACCTTGTCGAAAACTCCGACACGGTTGGAAGGATAATACAGAAACAGACGCTGGAGAAACACTCGGGCCGTGAGGGTGTAAATTTGATCTGTGTGAAAAGGACAATGGACCTAACTGGCTCCAAACGGCATCTTATAGGAGACTTTTGTGATGCCGAAACTTTGGGTTCATTTCGAACAGAACTGCTTCAAGATTCAACTGACTAGGCAATGCCCAGTACAAGGTCATTCAGATTTATGTAATGCTAGGGACACTTACCTTGAATCCCTGTTCCCTCATCTTGCTGACAGCCGTGTGTAAGGGTCCGGTGAAAACTGATTCCTCCACTTCCGTCCGAGCGGAGTGCTCCTTATATGGACCGAGCAGGCAGTACTGATCTCCCATCTCCTCAGTTGATACGTACGCCTTTGATCGAATCACAGTATAAATTCCTCCGACTGCAACATCAATGCCGACAGTTATCGTCTCGCAATGCGCATATAAGAGACAGCTACTCTTTTCGGTAAGCTCCATGCCATGGAGGTAAAGCTCCACATCAAAATATCTGGCAAATGAATGCTAAAGAAGGTCATAATCTTGGTACTTCATTAACATGTATTCACCAAGACTACTAAAGCTTGGATAGATCAGGAAGTACATAGACGTAGAACACTTATATTTGTACTTCACATTTCTTAAAAAGGAAGGACGAACTGGCTCAATTCAAAAGCTTTTTGCTTTATAGGGACAGAAACTTCCTATGAACGACGATTTGGATTTTTAACTTCTCCTGTTGTGTTATAGATAAGACGCATATGCTGTATAGCCAGAATTTTTTTGTGGGGTGGGGGGGGCAGAAAAATGTGGCAGAATGTCGGAGTTACCTCCAACAATTTTCAGCGTTCACCTTCACCTGAGCCAAAAGGTCGAGCTGTACTTCCACTACCACAAATATTTACATAAATGTTAATCACATCTGTCTTTATTTCATACAATAAGCTGTTTTCTGAGAAACCTTACGAAACCAGAGTTTATCTTTGAGTATGCCTAACGCAGAGGTTAAATGGACCAAAAATGAAATTCGCTCATGACTTTTACTTAGCCCCCACATATCAAGCTTCATTAAAATTTGTCAACACTTGACATAGTGAATGTTCACAGACAGAGAGAGAGATGGCTTCCACGCTGTGCATTTATTTTGTTAACGTTTCATAAGACCACACAATAAAGAGCCATTCTTAAAATTAAGACTCGACTATCACTTTTCCATTTGTTTCGGTAGGGAGTAGCGGTAGGAGGTGGGGAACCATATCGCATGATTCCACATTATATTATTAAAGCAGAAAAAATAAATCTGCTGTTTTACCTGCAGGGAGAAACAAATGAAGTGACGATCTGATGTTGAAAGAGAAACAGACAAGTTACATCAATGGTTGTAAATATAGTATCTCGGAGAACAGCCAAATGTGTGACTTGTACATACATCCTTGGCAGAGTGCCATAAGAAGCAAGGTCATGTTCTAGTTAACACGATCATGAGGTCAGAGAGCCAAATGAAGGCTTCCAGATCACTCAACAAACATTTATGGGGGGGATGAAAAATAAAGAAGTTAATGGCCAACAGATAACAGAAGAAAATATCTTACTTCATGGAAATTAAAATAATGAGTCAGGAATTTTGGAGTAAACTGTAATTTAGTGTTGGTCTCTATTAAGTCCCTACTTCATGTGAGCTAAAATTTAACCCTACCACCACCACCACCAAAATAAAAACTAATCTTACAAAACAAATGGCACATAACAGAAGACGACATCTTATTACGACGTACAAATTTAATTCAAAATTCCCTTTCATATTGTATTTAATAAAATGCATGGAAAATTATCAACAAGACCAACAAGATGATGGGGAAACTGAAAAACAACCGCATTCCATTGGAAAACGCCACTCCACTCCTGTCTCAGAACAAAGCAGTGACTGAGAGGCGCTACACAATAAAACCATACAAAATTACAAATTAAATATGGTGTTCTTCTTAACATTTCATTGCAGTTCTACTTTTTGTTTGCAAGCCAGTGAGAATGTATCGGGAATCAGAAAGAATGCATTTCATTTTAGGCTTTTTGCGGCCAAATCCATTAGTTTTGTACAGCCTTCAATAAAATACATGAAACATTCTCTCACCTTTATTAGCTACTTCCCACGCAGCTTCAAATGTCCAGCGATTCTGGCAAGAGGCCATCTCGCCTCTATCCATGAATGCAAGCAATTCATTCTGGCTTTCCATGCGGTAGAACCGCCGTGATGCTCGATCCCTCGACATTCTGAATGATGTCTCTCGCTGCAGTACCCCTGCTATTTAAACATAATATTGAAAATTACACAATGCATTCAACTGTACAATACTTGCACATGTGCAACGCAATCTATATGCATACACATGAAACGGAATGCCATTCATTAGCTCATTCATCCCCATATTTCATCTCCAAAACTACTTACTTGACAGATTTGGGCAATATGTGGTGACCGAGGTACGCACCAAAACAAGTCCAGCATATTTCATTATGTTTCAACATAATGGCACATTAAATAAACACATAAATATCATCTATTTCAATAAATATATATATATAAATAAATAAAATGAAAACTGCATTTGGGAACTCCCAGGTTCAAGTCTTTGTCCAGAGACCAGCTATCCTGACAAGTTTCTCATACATTTCTTCAGTTCCTCCAGGAAAATGCCAGGATATTACATTAAATTCATCCACAACAGCTTCCTTCTGCAGCCTTTTCACTTAGTTAACGATAAATCATCATATCATACAACACTAACACATTCACAGCTACTTACAGCATCATTAAACAAACAATAAATACTAAGAAAGACTGAAAATTATTTCAGAAGTGTTACATCAAAGTTTTTATATCCTTTCCATAAATTTGATGGAAGTGAGAACCCAACAAGCAGAAAATCCACCATGACAACGCGCCTGCCCTGTCTGCCCAACTTCTGTGGCAATTTTTAGCTAAATTCAGTATTCCACAAGTAACGCTGCTACCCCACTCACCACTCATGACTCCCTTGCGATTCTTTCTCATTCATAAAGTTATACAACTACTGAAAAGCTAAAGATCGGATAATGCGGAAACATGTGAAAGCAATGCAAGTGTTAGTGACGCCAAAAAAATAGTTGGAGAGATGCTCCCAGCAGTAGGAAAAACAGTGGAATAAGTGAATATGTCCTGAAGAAGACTGTTTTTATGGGCAATATGTCTCATCTCGACAACTACATTATCCTTGCTTCCACAGAATGAGTCTTAATATTTGTTGATCACATATCACAAAAGTCTCACAAACAGATAGCCTATAAAAAAAATTGCATACAGAAAAGTTTAATTTGATATATTCATAGCTTATTTGAGAATTCTGCCAACAGCACAGATTACATAGTGCCATGTATTAGAATGACTAGTAAACAATGAACTGTAAACATGCAAATGCACGTGGTTATTACCATTTTATGTAGCTCAGAATTTACCTACAGAAACTGAGTGGAAAAATAAAAACTTATCAATGTGGCAGTTTCCACGAGCTGATATTCGAACCCGTGATCTCCAAAATTTGAAGGAGTACCAACGTTTGCACTATATTTTATTGGTTGATACAGCATTCGCAAAGAACACATACGGAAAATAAACTACAACTGGGAACTGGCCTTAAATGCTAAACCTCTTTGTAAAACTAACCTCAATTTTTATCAAGTCAATAACATGTTGTTATCTAGCGATACCAATTTCACAATCAATAAGAATTATACAACAGCACTTTAAAAAAAAAAAACCTTCGTACACGAAAACCATTTTCAGCTTAAAATTACGTTTAACATCCATTTCATGAACCCCAAAAATTCACAGTCTTGTTATGGTGCATACGGACACTATTAATGTAATCATTACTGACGACTATGTAATTTGTTGGCACTGAATTAGGCGCAGTTTTCAATGGTATTTTATTTCTCCGTTGATATACATACAACTGGACAACGGTTACAGTACGAAACGTTGCCCCACGATGTTAGCATTATAAATGTGACGAGAACATAATCAGAGCGAATAGTACAAATGAAGACCTAAACCTGTCTGGAATGTGTCAAAGTTGATAACCATTTAAAAGACACCTAATAATATGTAACTTTACTACCAAGAATGCCTTGTTTTGTATCATGCAAATATGTTTACCTTTTATTACTCAGAATCAATTTAATAATCAATACAATCTCAATATTCCAATTCGCCGGTCAACAGAAACACTATCGAGGTCGTTGAATTAGACTTCAGAATATCCAGAACACATGAAGGTCAAACAAAACCTCAAACAACTACTAATTCACTCAAGAGATGGCAGTCTCTTCCGAAGTTAATTTTTACCACCCAAATGTCCTCGTTCTCCAGACAACCAACTTAATTATGTAAAAATATTGAGTGAGATTTCACTTTCTCATGGCGACGAGTATGAAGATGATAACGTTGTTGAATGCTGTGTAGAAGTTTGCCGACGTTTCTCAGATGCTCTCTGCCTCCATCACTCATTTGTGCACAATTTAAACACAAGATGCAGACATAACCTATTTGTGCCAAATGCTAATCTCAGCAAATTTAAAAAAGGGTGGTTACTACACAGTTATTAAATTATTCAGTAATATTTCTCATGCTATAAAAAGCTGAAGTCATGAAATAAATGTATTTAAGCCACCACTAAAAAGTAGAATTGACTTTCAACAATAATTGGCAGTTATAAATATATATAATGATGGTGATGATTCAATGATGTAATTACTTTACTGTAACATTATGAAAAATCACATATATTTGTAAATAGCTGTTAAAACTATGTATATACCCCACTGTATTGTATCTGTATTATGACATATTCTACATCCTTGGCTTAGGCTTATGAAAGATCTATAGATTGTAAATAAATTCTATTCTTTTTAACTATTTTATTATCTGAGGATGACCCCCCCAGGTGGAGACCATCTTCATGCTCATGTTCTTACATGCTCTTAATTATCACCCTGATAATGAAGGTGGTAGGAGTCACAGCACACTCACAAAGTGGTACCCACTTGTTTAATGTTATAGGCCTATTTCAAAATACCCACATATCTGCAATGTAGAATTGGCAGCTACGGGGGGAAACAATCAACTGAACTGCTACTGCCATCTGAATATTTGACTATGTCTACTGAAAATTACTGAAAATGGAGCAGGTACAAAGAACTTGCTGAAATGAAATGAAATGAAGTGCTTATAATAAAAACTGTTCATCACTAGTAGGATTTGAGGCTTTCATGGCAGTAAGAAAGAAGATCTTCTGTGTTGTTGCACCATGTAGTGTGATAGAACATACATATTATATGGAGCAACAACCCAGAAGACAGCCATCTTCAAACACTACTCATTTTGCAGACAGCAATGAAGCCTTCTGGGAGTCCCATGACATTTCTCTAATGCCCAGTTTCAAGAAAACTGCTTACATGATTATAATGTCATTATATATTTACTAGACGATGGATAATATCCAAGGAAATTTTTATTCAATTGACTCTTCACCATCGTCAATAAGTTTTAGATTTATATATATATCTTGTTCAACAATGCCATGAATAGCTCTGGTTACATGGCATCAAATAATAGGATGATCAGTGAATAATGAATGGAAAGGATGTGGGTAAAAGTAGCCATGACTTAACTTAAGGCGCTATTCCAGCATTTACCTACAACTGAGGCAAATTACAAGAAATTATCAGGATAACAAGTTTCCAAGCTCAAATTCGAACCTGGAACCTCCTGATTACAAAGAAAACCTGCTAATGACTCAGCTGTGATTTTTCTTCAGAGGATATTAAACATGTAATGCTTCAGAGACCTCCTATGTCTCCATGCTTGCAGGAGAAAAATATATTATTACCTCCAGCCACAGCAGAGGTCTTAAGTCCGGTAAGTGCTACATTTTCAAATAAAAATCTAAAAATTCTGCACAACAATCGATTACTATTGGTAAGCCTGCCTTGGGTCACGTAGGATTCGACATTGGTTGGCTTAGTGTTCATCAGGTCACTTGAACAAACTTTCTCAAAAGTACGTTATGAAAAGCTTGTGCATGACCTCTGATGATTACTTCAAAGCCTTTGTTGTAGATACGTCAATGTGCGCAGTATTTCAGAACACATTCCAAGAAGTGCAGTCCAGATAAAGAAATGATTTCACTTGGCTGATGTAACATAAATTAATTCTTTGTCACTACACTTCCCACAGAAAATATTAAAATTAACCTTTAACTCACACGCGGATATGAGACGGAAATGCAGTAATCCATCATTAGTTTATTCTGGCAAAGTGTGATGTGCCACAAGAAATCAAAAATTTATAATTGTAAAGGTATGTTCCTATGTAATGATATTTTCATAGGGTAATATCTGTCAACTGCAGGTCATTTCTTGTCCATTAAGAACCGAATATTTATGACAGCTCTGGAAGTCACTGCGGTCAGCAATTGTTTAAGTTTACCATGCCGAATGACTTGATAATTATATGCAACAACAATACCCTGTTATCAGAGCCTACATCCTGTGTCTTTGGAATAATGAATGGTAAAGTGAATTGTAATTCGCGGGACACCATTTAAGTCTAAAAACTACTGAGAACAAAGGTTACTTTTTGACCCAAGCACATGATATGTTGGATGCATAAATATACAGGCCACAGTTTTGAAGTGCTTCAGGTACGTGAGAAAAGGAATTTGGGAGACTCTTAGAAACAGTGTTGGTGTGTGTGTGGAAATCTACAAAACTCACGTAGGTTACAGAGCAGTTAGCTGACTGACAAACAGGAAAGTTCTAAGATAAAAAGTTTTCTGGATGTTTTCCATCGTCTAATAAAATCATAAAACTGCTCGACGTTTCGGAGATGGGACTCTATCTCCGTCTTCAGGTGTACCTACTCAGCTATTCCCTATCTCCGGATTTAGTGTTATTGTTGTTACGGTGGATTTTAATGCCTTGTGGACTTCAAAGTAGGTACATTCCATTATTTGGGAGGAACATACTACCTCCAACTTCAGCCCTGAAGATGAAGGCAGACAAAATACTCCTATCTACTCTCTTTTTTTAAAAAAACTGACATTTTCATCACTGTGAGAATCTCAAATGTCATACAACAATTAAGATATGTAAAGCGATCATGTGTCATACCATAGTGAAATTTAGTTTCATACTTACAAGGCGGAATATTCATTACAAGTGCATGAAAATCAAATACTCACAAAAACATAGGACATATGAGAGGTT